AATCTTAAAATGTAAGAACAAGGTTGATAACAACAACTCACCAAACTTAGCATCAGTAAAGGGAGAACAACTAGACACCATGTAACTCTAATGGGTAGGAAATTCACAACAAACATCTATGGGATATTTTTATTTTAAAAAAATGAACTTGAATCTAATAAAATATCTACCAGCTTTCTAGATATAGAAAGTAAGTTATAGCAGTGGTTCTCAAACTTAAGCATCAGAATAACCTAAAGGAGGCTTTGTTAAAACACAGAATGCTGGAAAGCACTGAATTAGAGTAAACCATAAGGAAGCAAAGAGCCATATAAAGAATGTGGGAAACTTATAAGAAAAATAACCCAATTTCAATATGAAATCATATTTTAAAAGGTGGGGGAGGCCGTTATAGAAAAAAATTACTGAAGCAACATAACTGCAAATGTAATATGCAGACTCTAAAGATTCTTGAATTAACAGGGGCGCCTGTGGATAGCTGACGGGGTTAAGCATCTGACTCTTGATTTCAACTCAGGTCATATCTCAGGGTCATGAGATGGGGACCCTGTTGGGCTCCATGCTGGGCATGGAGCCTGCTTAAGATTCTCTCTCTCCCTCTGCGCCTTTCCCCTTCCCTCCTCCCCGACCTCCCTCTCCACCCCCCCCAAAAAAAGATTCTAAGTCAAACAAATCCACTATAAAAAGACATCTTGAAACAACTGAGAAAATATTAATATAATCTAAGAATAGATCATATTAAGGGAATTTCTGTTAAGCATAATAATAGAATGATGGCTCAGTTTTTAAAAACCGTAAGTTAATTAGGAAAAAAAAAAAATCAAGGCTACAGACTGTGCAAAAGCCACACAATACGGGCCACTTTAAGGAGTTTGGGCCTAAACTGAATGGTTTTACACATAAGCATAGAATCATCATACTTACAACTTCTGGTTCCTGAATGTCATGTGCTAAGCACTGCATTAAGTACTTAACATGACTTATCTCTTTGAATCCTTAAAATAACTTTGTAATGCAGATATTAAATTCTATACCATTTTTCAGGCTGATCATAATCAGAATTTGCATTCTTTAAAGGATAAAGTGTTGAGAATACTTTGGAGCACGACAAGAGTGATGGAAAAAAGAACAATTAAGAGATTGTTACAACAATATAAGAATTTCTGGTACAGACAGTAAAAGCAAATGCTCCTGCATTACGAATAGAACAAAAATACAGCAATTTTTTAATAAAACGTGAATTATGTCCTACAGACATTTAATTCTGAAACAAACTTCTTTACCAAATTAGACAGTTTTCAAAGAATTTTATTTTTGAAGCAATCATTTTATATGTACTGTAGTTACTGGACTTACAGTTAATTCTTTCTTCCACTACAAAGTGGCCTGATGGAAAAAAACGTCAAACAGTATGTTCTCCTAGAAACCACCTTCTTTCCCAAATCCTCAAAAATATTAAAGCAAGTTACTGTTTTAATTCTATAAATTACTGAAATAACATCCCTGTGATATCCTTCACACTCCTGTCAGCTCAAGAAGCTTAGATAAGACAAGCACACAGAAATCAATATGGTAATGATCTTTTTTAAAAGTGAAAACTGAAGGGAAGGGGGTGAACCCTGACCACCTTTTCCAATGGGGTGACCATGAAAGACTATTTCAAGGCTAAACCTTCATTCATATCAAAAGTCTCTCCTATCTCAGAGCCCTACTGTAACTTATTACCACCGGGCCTTGTATGTTGCTAACTCTAGGAACAGACTCTTGGATGCTGAGCTATCGGTTAGTGCCAAAGGCTGTGTCCAAGTCAGATTCACCAACTTAAACTAAGTATACAAAACAAAACCAAAAAAAGTTTCTAGAAAGGAAAGCATGGTATACTGGAATGAAATTTTAATCTACTCTAAAACCTGAGTTACATCACTTGTTATTAGGGAAATGAAAATTAAAACCACAATAAGGGGTGTGCCTGGGTAGCTCAGTGGGTTAAGCAATGGACTCTTGGTTTCGGCTCAGGTCCAGATCTTGGTGTCATGAGATCAAGCCCCATATTGGGCTCTGTGCTCAGGAAGGAATCTGCTTGGGATTCTCTCTCCCTCTCCGTCTGCCCCTCCCAGCTTGTGCATGCTCTTTCTAAAATAAATAAATAAATCTTAAAAACACACACACAAGATCAACAAGATTCCACAACATCCACAAGAATGGCTATAATCAAGAAGTCTCAAAAATGGTGAACGTGGTAAACATTGTTAGGTGTTTTTCACAATACAAAAAAAATCTTAATTAAAAATTAGACTAACAGATACCAGGTATTGGGAAGGACATGGAACAATCATAACCTTCACACACTGCTCATGATACAACTACTTCAGAAAAGTTGGGCAATTTTTTTGGAAGTATATACTTAGCATATGACCCAGTAATCCCACTCCTCAGTAACCATCCAAGAGAAATGAAAGCATATGTCTGCATAAAGATTTGCATACAAATGTTCACAGCAGCATTGTTCTTCACAGACCAAATCTGAGAACAACCCAAAGGTCTGCCAATTGGTAGTAAATGGATAAAGAAATTGTAGTATACCCATACAATGGAATACTACTCAGCAATAAAACTGAAGAAACTGATAAGTGCAACTGAGATAAATCCCAAAAATCATCACTATGAGTTAAAATAAGCCAGACAGAAAAGACTATAAACATGATCATATTTATAGGAAATTCTAGAAAAGTCAAAACTTCACTCATTAGAGCAGATCACTGACTGCCCTGAATGAGGATGGGTTAAGAACTGACTACAAAGGGTCATGAGGGAACTTCTGGGGGGATGGAAGTGTTCTAAAACTTCACTGGGGTGGTGTACAAAACTGTAAACATGTAACAAAATTCAAAGAACTGTGCACTTAGAATGGCTTAATTTTACTGTATGTTAATTATAGCTCAATGAAGTTGTTTAAAAAAATTACAAGGATGCCTAGGTGGCTCAATTCGTTGAACACCTGCCTTCAGATCGGGCCATGATCTCAGGGTCCTGGGATCTAGTCCTGCACTGGGCTGCTTGTACAGCAGGAAGCCTGCTTCTCCCTCTGCCTGCCACTCCCCCTGCTTGTGTTCTCTCTCTCTGACAAATAAAATCTTAAAAAAAGAAAAAAAATTACCTGGGTTACCTAGATCTTCAAGTTACCACCTGTGTGATGCTAACCAGTTTTCATTTTCTCACACGTACACTTGCACATTTTATTTTTTAAAGCAATCACTTCTAAATCATACTGCACTTACTGGGCTTATACATAATTCTTACTTCCACTGGAAAAAGGATCATATAGTTATCTATACTTTCTCTCTCACACAAGGTTGTTGTGAAATATCACATGAGATAACTAATGAGAAAGTGCTTAGGCAACTCTAAAGTAGTGTTACACAACTATATAGTAGGCTTTACGTTTTTTTAAAAATAGACATGAAAAATTTTTTTCATATGTGTGACTTCAGACCCTTGGAAACTTGAGTACCCTAAAGTCAATCTTTGCCCAGAAATAGACAGCCTAATCAAGTGTCACCTTTTTAATATCCTCAACCTGCTTTGTACTGACTCTTGATTTACTGGATGTCTCAACGCAGTATTATCCAGACTACACTTTCGTTTTTCAAAAGAAAATCAGTAAAGAAGTGTTTTAAAAAATTCATTTGATGAGTATGGCCTGACATTTATTTCCCAGTGGAAAAGACCCAAATCTAGAAAACTGTTTCATTAAACACTTTTCCAAGATGTTCACATTGTGGTTTTTCTTCCTCTAAAAGTTCTTTCCATTTAGTACTACAATTCCACACGTATTACTGAGTGTTTAGTAATGTGACCTCCATTACCAAGAGAGGGTGAATAATTTTAAGGATATGAAAACCTGTTACCAGTGTGGTACAGTCATTTCAAACTTTTGCCTGTTGCAATTTTAACAGACTCTCATTTTTTCCTACTACTACTGAACAACTGGGCTCTTTGCTGTTCTACCAGGTTTGACTGATATGTGACATTTAGCCTAGTTATACTTAACAAGTTTCCACACCGCAACAAGTATGAAGGCTATGTGAAAGACATAATCTCTACCTCAAATGTGGTTTGGCGAAACCACATGAATTCAATTTTACCTTGAATTCATGATTCTACTACATTGTCTTACAATTCTAGTAAGCTTTTCTACCAGCAACAGGTACTGCAACCAAAAATTAATAAAGCCTTTACTACCACAAAATATTTAGCTATCGTTTTCAATTTTTAAAGACACCTTTCTGGTAACAGTTGTAAGAGAATGATTCTATGGTCAATTCTAACGCCGTGCTTCCTCTGATTCGTTCCTGCTCCAGTCTAGTCAGTAGTAACCATAACCTCTTAGGTTTCACCTTTCTCCTTCGATAACAATAAGACCGCTCGTTCCAGTAACTGCACACCTCCAATATTAGTTTCCAAGAAACTAGAAAGAACGGCACCTTGCCTACTCGTTCCTCCAACCCTCTACCCTCAAAAGGTTGCACAAAACGGGAGGCTCTCCCCCACAACAGCAAGCAGGCTGGAATGAAGCACCCAGAGAGCGACTGGCCTCGGGTAGGAGGGGAAAACTTCTGGGCCCCGAGGACTGCGGCTGAGGTCCAGCCCAGCCCGCTCCCAACTCTACTCGCTGCCAGAAAGGAGTGTGGACCCCTACGCTCAGGCCGCGGCGCTCGGTGGGGAAGGCACAGCCGCGTGTGGCAGCGGGGCAGGACGTAAACAAACCCGCCAGGAGGAGGGGGAAGGGGCAAGTGCTGGGATGGGGGGGGGGCGAAAAGGACCTCCCTCCAACCTCCAGCTCATGTCCGCAGCTGCCCAGCCGCTCCCCACCGGGGCCCAGGTCCCAATCCCGGCGCGGCCCGGCCGCGCGGGCAGGAATGCCAAAGGCCCCTGCACATCTGGAGCCCGGAGCCCACAAGGCCCTCGGCTCGGCTCCCCCCCACCCCGCAGCGCCCTACCTGAACGCGCAATCTGGGTCCCGCGCGTCCCGACCGGGCGCGCCCAGCCCGCTCCTCTTGCTGAAGAGCTTCTGGAACAGTGTAGGAGCCATACTGACCACGGCCAAACCAGGGTCGCTCCTTAGGGCGCTCGCTAGGCCCCCGCTCCTAGAGCCGCCCCGCCACCCCCATGAGCGCCTCAGTCATATGACAGAAATTAGTCACTTCAAACGGCCACGGCGCGCCGGGCGGGGCGCGGGGCAAGGCCGGCGTCCATTGGCTGGCGGTGAGCCGCATCACGTGGCGCCGCGCTGAGCCGGGGTGGGGGGGTAAGGCGGAGGCGTAGGGCGGAGCTGGCCCCCATAGGCTGACTAGAGGATTCCCTCACGTGGCAGCTCAGGGGGCGTGGTGTGCAAGGAAAGGAGGGGAGGGGCGGGGAGTAGAGCTGCCTGGGGAAGAAGAGGGGGAACGCGCGCAGCTCGGGGTTGTTGTGCGTGACGTTGTCTGCTGCTCTCTGAGGCTACGGTGGGGTGGTGCGGGAACAAAGCCCGGTACTTTGGAATGCAGAAAGCTTCCTCTTCCGGCAGCCACGACCGAGATGCTTAGAGCTCCAGGGCTGCCGACCCTCGCCCGCCATCCTTTCCTCAGCCTCCGAGATTTCGCACCTCCGTCGCGCTCCTGGCGGGTCCAGCGGACCCCTGAGCAGAAAAGGCGCGCGACCTAGTCTGGACTTGGAGTGCGGGGGCCACAGGCCTGCCAGTGCAGGGCCGCGAGGGGTGTGGGCTCAGAGCTTGGCGGCGCGTGGCTGGTGGAGAGCCCTGCCCAGACACTTGCCACAGCTTTGACCTCCAGCAGAAAAAGGCCTCGGCCAGGATCTTCGAGCCGCCTTCAGCGTTTCTCACTACCCTAACGATAGGATTTAAGCTCTATCTTAACGCCTAGGTAGGTAGGGAGAGGGGAATTCCACGGTGGAACTATAAACAAATGGATTTGATACGAGAAAAAGCGCATTACAAAGGGGGGAAGAAAGAACATTACTCAAAAATGACATTACACTGGGCGGCACCTGGGTGGCTCAGTGGGTTAAAGCCTCTTCCTTCAGCCCGGGTCATGATTCCAGGGTCCTGGGATCGAGCCCCGTGTTCGGGCTCTCTGCTCAGCGGGGAGCCTGCTTCCCTTCCTCTCTCTCTGCCTGCCTCTTTGCCTACTTGTGATCTCTGTCAAATAAATTAAAAAAAAAAAATGACCTTATACTCTTTTTAAACCCAGGACGCCAAATTTTATCAGGGTTCAGATCAAAGTGGTCTTGCAAATTTTCAGCACCATTTATTAACCCACTCCCCTCCAGAATAAGGAGTTTTGTACTGTAGGATAAAATTATCTGGTAAATATGGATGTCAAGAAATAACTGGTACGAGGTTTTAAGGATAGATTAAAAAAAAAAAACTTTTGAATATTTCATTTAATTAAGCAGACAAACCAATGTATTTTCCTTGAGTGACTACCAACTTCCACTAATTTGCAGCTAGAGTTTAAACTATAAAAAATGTGGCCATATGTATTTATTTATTTATTTATTTGAGAGGAGAAAGAGCACCAGTAGGTAGGAGGGGCAAAGGGAGAGGGAGAAGCAGACTCCCTGCTGAGCTGGGAGCCCAATGAGGCTTAATCCTAGGACCCTGAGATCAGGACCTGAGCCACCCACATGCCTTAAGAAATTAATTTATTCATTCCACAAATGCTTAAGTGCCCTTGGTCCAGGTACTGGGGATCCAAAGTAAACACAAAGACAAAGCTAACTTTCTATATAAGGAGATAATAAATAACTAAACAAGGTAATGAGAGTTAAGCAATAAAATGAGGGAGTGGGGAAGGTCTCTATGAGAAGGTGACATTTGAGGTTCTCAAGATTCATTCATAACTTCACTGCATATTGCCCAAGCTCCAAAACTTACTGGGCAATACAGATTCAAAACAGCAGGACTATGCTCTGTGTAGAGATAATCCTCTGATTCTGACACCAAACAAAGAAAGATTTTTAATAAGGCAAAATGAATTACGTATACAATTGACCTTTGGACAAGGTGGGGGCAAGGAGCTCCAACCCCTGCAACTCAAAAATCCAAGTATAACTTAGACTCCCCCAAAATTTAACTACTTAAAGCCTACAGTTGACCAGAAGCCTTATTGATAACATAAACAGTTAACACAAAGCATGTATTATATAAGCATGTATTACATAATGTATTCTTATGACAAAGTAAGCTAGTGAAAAGAAAATATTAAAATCATAACGGAAATACATTTATAGTACCAAGCTGTAAAAATCTACATATAAGAGAATCTACACAGTTCAAACTATTTCCCACCCACCTACCCCCAAAAGATGTGAACATGGAATAAAATTTTTGCTAACAAAAAATGAAGTCAATGCAATTTTTTAAAGTGAGAATATGCACAACCTATAAATCACTTAATCATTTGGGAATGTTTTATTTTGCCTTTATACTAGCAAGTTACACTAAATGATTTCAAGTGGAAACAGTCTCAAGCGTGTATATACAGAACCCTTGACACTGAGAACTCATGGCTGGTTCATGGATGGCACAGAGAAGAGTGTTTCCTTGTCCCCTCAGATGCAAGTTTCTAAAAACAATAACCTTGTATGCTTTCATCTTGGGAAAAAGTTACTTCATGGGATAATTATAGATATTAATAGTAAGGGAAAGAACATTACTGCTTGCATAAGAGATACTTTGTTCTACTATTCTCTAATATAATAATTTCATTTCTATAGTTTCATTTAGCCTTATGTTTGAAAGGTACAGAAAAACTATCTATCATTCATCATATTTCCTTTATGTTGCAGGGTAATATTCAAATTACAGAATAAGAAAGCACTAATATGATACAAGTTTGTTATAAAAGAAGACAAGTTACTTAATTATGCAGACTACATTGAAAATAATTTCCAATAATATAAAAGACAAGGGCACTCTCTTCTGGTTACAGATACAGGGAAAGGTGACAATAAAATTGGAATCTTGCTCTCTCAAACACATGCTAATAAGCATGCCTCAATTGTGCTAAATTTTCCTAAAACAAGTTAAGTTTTCACTGTCACAGAACAAGACATTCAGAATCTAGATCATCAAAACTGCCTGAAGGACTCAGGGTACCTCATTGGTCTTTTGTTGTTATTGTTTTGTTTTGCTTAAGATTTTTAATTTATTTGTTAGCAAGAAAGAGAGTGTGTGTGTGTGTGTGTGTGTGTGTGTGCCTGAGCAGGGGGAGGGGCAGACAGAGAGGGAGAAGCAGACTCCCTGCTGAGCATAGAGCCTGATGTGGGACTTGTTCTGGGGATGCTGAGATCATGACCTGAGTCAAAGGCAGACACTTAACCAACTGAGCCACCCAGGCACTCCAGTACCTTAGTTTTAAAAAACTCTTAAACCAATTGATGGTTTACTGCTATATGATAAAGGAATGGCAGTAGTTTGAGACACCAGAAAACCTAAACATTCATTTATTCAACCAAATATTTCTTGAGGTCTCTAAGGTCTCAGACTCTGCTGTAGGAACTGAGGACATTAGTGCTAAACACAGAAGTCCTCACTCTTGGGAACTTAGTTCTCAGTGGGAACAGGCAAAATAAACAAGATGTTTGCAAGCTATGCTAGGAGCTAGGAACAAAATAGTTGATAGCAAGCATCTGGAGAAGGCCAGATTTACACAGGGTGGTCAGGACAGCCTTTCCAAAGGTGTGGGATTTAAATTAAGGTCAAAACAATGAAAAGGAACTGGCAGTGGGAAGAAGGTAACAAAGAACATTCTGGCAAAGAGAAGAAAAATTACACAGGCTCTGAGGCAGAAATGGGTTTGACTTATTTGAAGAGGAAAAAAGAGGCCAGAAGAGCTGAGTATACTCTGGGAAGAAGGAGATGTTTGAGAGGTGGTTACAAAGACATAGGGAGCATTATGTACCACATTATGTAGGTACCTTGTAAATCATGGCAAAGAGGTTAGATTAAATGTGATGGGAGCTACTGCAAGATTTTAAAACAGGAAAAGGACGTCCTCCAATTAATGACTCTAGAAGATTACTCTGGTTGCTTTGAGGAGAACGTATTCTAAAAGATTGAGAATGAAAGCAGAGAAAGTGTATAGGAGGCTACTGTGCGTTTTCAGTGGAAGTGGAAGATGACTAACTGGAGTTATTCTGCAGGACTTCTGACAGAAGTGAGGGAAAGAAAAAGGATTAGTTTCTAGATTTTTCCCTTAAGTAACTAAATGGAAGTCATTTTCCAATAGAATGACCAGGAAAAGCACAGGCTTGAAGAAGAAAATCAAGTATAATAAGTTTGGATATATTGAGTTTGAATTGTCTTTTAGATATCCATGTAGAGATTCTGAGTAGAATATATGGGGAGAAAACAGGATTGGAAAGATAAATTTTGGAGGCATTTAAAATAATGGAATGGAGGGGCGCCTGGGTGACTCAGTGGGTTAAAGCCTGTCTTCAGCTCAGGTCATGATCCTGGGATCATGGTCAATGGGATGGAGCCCCGCATTGGGCTCTCTGCTTAGCAGGGAGCCTGCTTCCCCCACCCCCCACCCCCCGCCTGCCTCTCTGCCTACTTGTGATCTCTGTCTGTCAAATAAATAAATAAAATTTTAAAATAATAGAATGGAGGAGTTCACCTAGGGAGAATGTATATGTGGAGAAGGAGGTCCAGGACTAAGATTCGATGAGGATAACACTTATAGGTCTTGAAGAAAAGGATCCAGCAAAGAATAAGGAGAGAAGAAAATACGTCCAAAAGGAGGAAAGGATCAACTGTGTTGGATGTCACTGAAAATTTAAGTGTCCATCGGATTTCTCAGCAGGGACATCTTGACAAGAGTAGTTTCAGTGGACTCATGTGAGCAAAAACCTGAATGGAGTGTGTTCAAAAAAATAAAGGGTAGAAAGGAAGTGGTAAAGCAAATATAAACAATCCTCTGTTTTACTGAGATAGGGAGCAGAGAAATGAGGAGTGAGAGGAGATAGGAAGAAGGAAAATTGTTTTTCTTTTTTCAAAACAGAAGATATTAGAGAATTTTGTATTCTAATGGAAACAATCAAAAGGAGATATTGGGGCACTTGGGTGGCTCAGTCGACTAAGTGTCAACTCTTGATTTCAGCTCAGCTCATAATCTCAGAGTTGTGAGA